TTTTCCCCCTCTGATAACAAGAATATAGGGAGAATTTCAATGAAAGCGTTTCTGCAGACTATTTTTATCAAGTGTGATTATAAAAAATAGAATTAATTAATTTTAGCCATCAGAGGATGACTATATTCTCACCCTGCTGCCACACAACTGTGTTTAAACCCCTTATAAACGTGATTTTTGCATGATAGGTCCCCTTTAACTCACCCAAGAATATCTTTCTAAAAACAGGTTCTGAAAAAAAAAACAAAAAAAAAAAAAAAACACAAATGTCTGTGCGTTTGACTTCGTGCTGTCACTCAGGTTTTGCCTCAGAGTAAAAAAAAAAAAAAAAGAAAAGAAAGAAAGTCAAGACAATGACGATCAATGCAAATGACAGTCTCATGTCAATGCCTGAGGTGAAATCCTTAAAACAAGTTGTCCTGAAGTATCTCAGTCTGATTGGATAACATGTCGTTTGCACATTCAAACACACACAAACAAACTTTTCTGGTAAAACAGTTTATCCACTGCTACCTGGAAATCAGTTGCTGTTTGTATAAATTCGCGCCCTCTTTTTTTTTTTTTTACCAACCCACAAATTACTGCACATAAAGCTTCTCTCATACAGGTTTGAGAGGTCTGAATATACTGAGTGCTTTATGAAATACAGCAAAAAGTTCAGAGAAGTAGCCAATGTAGTCGAGGTGGGGGTTGTATCGACTGAGCCAAGGTCAACAGCAATTCATTGATGCCACAGATTAGATTCTTGATTTACGATGTTCTGACGGTCTATTTACAGTCCATCATTCCTCAGTCCAAAAACAGGAAGTTATAAAAATGGATCTCAACTCCTAAGCTTGTAATAGCATGGACTTTGTTTGTGCTAGTTATGTATATTTCTCCATCCTATGAGTTTTAAAGTCAGGGAATTTTCTGTTCGGAGGAAAGCCGTTACTAGTAATTACTACTGTGCGTAATTAAATATACGGATTAGAACAAATCCTCGACCTTAAGACTTAGACTGTCACATTTTTTATTTAATGCCACTACGGACTTGAATGAAACAGCATAATTACTCCCAATCAACTTCGTTTGTGTCTTAACAACAATAAAAAGTACTCAAAAGTAAGCATTAACAATGAATGTTGATGGAACAAATACAAAAAAATTGACTTTAAAACGGCCAAGCATAACATACAGTAATATTGTTTCTGTGGTGAAACAGAAGACTAAACGCACATCAATATTAGTTATAAAAAACTGCATGCATTATTAAATTATGCAGTGAAATTTGGAACCCAAAGAAAGACAGTGATATATGATGCGGAACAGCCAGATATTCTTCATAACTTTCAATATGTCATCTCAAAAACTCTTTAAAACATTATGCTGTTATATAGCCTTTATGATTTGGTTGGTCTATGAACACAAAACCTTGTTTACCACTTCATCTCTTTAATTACATCAAAGCCACAATTGAATTACAATTACACCACAATATATACAACTGTTGGTCTAGACAGCTAGACAGTAGGGTTTACAAACTGGACCTCAATCCCAAAACCTTAGCTCTTTAACTACTACACCAAAATCCACTTTAGAATAATAATTAGAGCTTATTAAAGAACTATGCTAGTTTATACAGTAGGCTTTACAAACTGTTCTGGGACTCGACCCCAAAACCTTCAGTTTATCCCCTCAGCACTTTATTTACTACACCAAAGCCACACTACAAGTACAATTACAGCGCATTATATAACAATGCTGGTCTATAGTAAGGGCTTCAAAACTGTTCTGGGACTCAACAGTAAAACCTTCACTTCAATTTCTACACCAAAGCCACATTAGAATTACAATTACATCCTATTATATAGTTATGCTGATCTATACAACACAAACTGTTCTGGCACTCAACCCCAAAACCTTCTTTTTGACATCTCAGCACTATAACGACTACACCACAGCCACTCTATAATTACAGCACATTATATATATAACAACGCTAGTCTATACATTACTCCTCACAAACTGTTCTGGGACTCAACCCTAAAACCTTCAGTTTGACCCCTAGCACTTTAATTACTACCACCAAAGCCACCTTAGAATTACTAATACACCATACTATCATTGTATACTTATGCTGATCTATACAACAAACTGTTCTGGGCCTTAACCCCAAAACCATCCATTTCTCAGCCAAGTTGTTCAATTACTACACCAAAGACACATTAAAATTACACCATATAGAACTATGCTGCTCTATACAGTAGGCTTCACAACTGTTCTGGGGCTCAACCCCAAAACGTTTGGTTTGACATCTCAGCTCTTTAACAACTAAACCACAGCCACCCTACAAAAATACTTACATCATATCAAAGAACTATACTCGTTTATACAGTAGGCTTCACAAACTGTTCTGGGATTCAACCCCAAAACCATCAGTTTTTCTCCTCAGCGCTTTAAATACTACACCAAAACCACCGTAGAATAACAATTACACCATATCATATAACTATGATGGTGTACAGGCTTCACAACTGTTCTGGGCCTTAACCCCAAAATCTTCAGTCTCTCACCTAAGCTGTTTAATTACTACACAAAAGGCACCCTAAAATTACACCATAAGTATGCTGGTCTATACAGTAGACTTCACAACTGTTCAGAGGCTCAACCCCAAAACCTTCTGTTTGACACCTCAGCTCTTTAACCAATACACCAAAGCCAGCCTAAAATTAACATTTCCGAATATTAAGGAGCCATGCCTGTTTATACAGTAGGCTTCAAAAACTGTTCTGGGACTCAACCCTAAAACCTTCTGTTTGACGGCCCAGCTCTTTAACCAATACACCAAAGTCAGCCTAGAATTACAATTAAACCATATTATATAATTACCCTTGTCTACACAAAATGCTTCACAAACTGTCATGGGACTCAACCCTAAAACCTTTCATCTGACACCCAGCTCTCCATTTCCTTCACCAAAGTCACCCTAGAATTGCAGTTACAATATATTGTATAACTATACTAGACTACAAAGTAGGCTTCATAAACTGTTCTGGGACTCAAACCCAAAACCTTCAAGTTTTTCTCCTCAGCACTTTAATCATTACTACACCAAAACCATCCTAGAATTACAATTACAGCATATCATATAACTATGATGGTGTAAACCACTGGCTTCACAACTGTTCTGGACCTTAACCCCAAAACCTTCAGTTTCTCAACTAAGCTGTTTAATTACATACCAAAAGACACCCTAAAATACAGTTTCAAAAGTTCGCCCTTAGCTGATGACTGATTATGGAGCGTGATTGGCATGCTGTTCTGGGAGAGAGCCCTGAACTCATGAGATCCTCGAGCCCGGGGCTCCCTCCTGTTGCAGGGTGAGAGCGGAGTCTGAGTTCAGGTAGGTCTCGAGAACTCCCCTGCTTGATAATGTTGGAAGTAGATTAATGCTATGAAGTGTCTATGCTGTCAATTTAGATTTGTCAATTTACTTATGTCACACGTTTTTGGTCTGTTGGAGGAAACCGGAGAGCCCGGTGAAAACCCATGCAAACACAAGGAGAACATGCAAACTCCGCATAGAAATGCCGACCTGGCCAGAAAGAGTCTGAGCTGGTGACATTCTTGCTGTGCAACCGTGGTGCTAACCACTAGGCCTCCGTGCTGCCCTGACAAGGAAATGGGAGGAGTAGGAGTGGAAGGGGGGATTCTTCAAGATGAAGATGGCTGAAGTAAGATACTCTGGTTATTTATAGTGGTTAAGGAGTCTTCTGATCAAATCAGTGTTAGCTAATGCGGACCAGGTGCTATCAATCATAATCACGTGCTCCTCTCGAAATTAGTTTATAAATAAACTTTACTTAATGTTTTTTAAAAACTGAACCAATTACAGTACAAATACTTATTTAAGTGATTTGTTAAAGGCCTAGAACGATCCAAATCCAGACCCGAATCCAAATGTTGTAGGTTTGATGCAACACATGAGTTTACCACAGGTTATTTTATAATGCACTTCAGAAGATCACTGTAGCATGATCTGATCTCATGTTACTTTAGTTTCTAAACCATTGCACCAAATGATTACCATACTTAAATACCACAGTATTTACATGCATTTGTACTACAGGACATTTTTAAGAAGACAAAATGTAAATGTTTAAAACATGATAATAAAGGAGTACAAAATGGTTATTCAGCATAACTGGCTGTGACATCTCACAAGTCCCTTTTTATAAACTGGTATTTCTGGGACTTGACCCCAAAAAACCTTCAGTTTGTCATCTCAGTTCTTTAACTACTCCACCAAACACAATACCAGAATTAAATTTAACTTGAACAGTTGTGAATAATTACACCAATAGCAGAACATAAACTGATGTGGCTTAAAGGTTACAGGCCTTGGATGGGAAGCCAAATGTTGTAGGTTTGAAACCTGAGGTAGATCCGATCACCAATTTACCCTTGAGCAAGACACTTTACCTCAGGCTACTTAATAATACGACTTTAAAGAAACGCTGTTGTGTTACCACGGTAAAGTGTTGGTTGACACATAACACTTTGACTTTAATCTAGCTTACAGACATCTGTTTTCGTACAACGCTTTTCTAACGTTCTGTACCATAGTAAAGTCACATAAAGGAGCACTAATGACACTGTTTAGACATCACATCGCTATACTACCGCGGTTGCTTATAGATGTATAACTGTAGCACCATATTCTCGGAAGTACCCGTGTTAAAAGCATGATACATTCATTTCAATACATCAAAGTACGAATGTTTCGCCATGTATGAGCGACACAGGAATGGCATATATTGCTCCTATAGGGGTTATTTGTAATGCTGTAGTTTAATAAGGTGTTAAACACCTAATGTGCAGATTTTAGCGCATAAACAACATAAATAAACACGTATATCACACACATATGCGCGAGTTCCGCAGTGGACTGCAGCGCACCAAACGCGCCCTGCTTTCATTACATACGCGTTTATAAGGAAAACCGAACAAACACCCACCTGATTTGAGATTTGGGGTGATGATATGGACGTTAAATGCTGTGGAAAAGCCGGTGGTTTCACTGTGATCGGCGTCAGTGTGGATCCACGCACCTGACAACAGTCGGTGTGTTTCGTTTCGCTGTCTGATCACATTCAACACAAAGAGCGTCGAGACGCACAGAGGACGCAGGGAGCGTGGCGATTTTACGTACGACGTCGGAAAGCGTAAAAACTTTCCTAATGCGCTCTCTGAGGACCCCTAACTTCATAGAACCACACAGGTGGAATGATTGTTCAATTAATTAGTTCAATTACGTTAGAAATTGATTTCAGGCAGCCTAAATTGACCTTAATCACACCAAAATTGAAGGAGGAATCAAGTTAGGTGGAATCAAGTTAACCTACAATCCTACATTAACATGACAAATACACTGTACATTGAAACCTACAAATGTATCTCTAAATAAATGTAAATCTATAAATGTCACTCATTTTGAACAATATTAATTCAGACAATATGAGTTTACAATAAATGGCAGATTCGTGGTTCAACAAATCATTTAGAATCTTTCTGGGTGAATAATTGGCTTGATTACAGGCCTAACCATACTTGAGTTTAGCTCACTAGCAGGGTCGGATTGGCCATCTGGCAAATGTCAGAAGGGCTGGACAATTTTTTAAATGTGGGCCGGTCATTTTTATTTTTTAATATGTATGGTTTTTACATGCAGGCAGCTTTTATCTCTTGCAAGATGTGAATATGATGATGATGATGATGATGAGGATAGTAATAATAATAATAATGAAGTTCTGCACAAGACTTTTGGCCAGCGGAGAAATTAAAATGGTCATGCCCAACTGAGTCTGGTTCTCTCAAGGTTTTTTTTCTTCACTCCCATCAGGTGAAGTTTTTTTTCCCTCTCCGCTGTCGCCACTGCCTCGCATGGTTCAGGATTGGTAGAGCTACGCATCGATGAATTTGCTCTTCAGTGTTTGAACTCTCAGTAATGATTAAATCACACTGAACAGAGCTAAACTGAACTGAACTGAACTTAAACACTAAAACCTGAACCACACTGTTCCAGTTACTATGACCATTCATGTGAAGCTGCTTTGACACAATCTACATTGTAAAAGCGCTATACAAATAAAGCTGAATTGAATTGAATAATAATAATAATAATAATAATAATAATATCTGGCTGGTTTTGAGATGGGCCGACCCAATCAGAGGTTACGTGGACATAATCAAAATCTGGTAAAGAATGTCAAAACAGTAAGTGCAACACAAGCTAATTGTCAGAAATGGACCATGTCATATGGCTTTTATCATTTCACCATATGTACACCAATGGTGGGGCTGTGTCAGTGTGAAAATGTGGTCTACAGTGCCAGGGCTAAATTTTTGTCCCAGTCCGCCCCTGCTCACTATTCTGGTTTTAAAGGGATGTTCATCCCTAATAAGACTTGTTCACATTCATTCACTTTCTTTTCGGCTTAGTCCCTTTATTAATTTGGGATCGAACAGCGTAATGAACCGCCAACTTATCCAGCATGTATTTTAAGCAGCGGATGCCCTTCCAACTGCAACCCATCACTGGAAAACACCCATACATACTCATTCACACACTAACACTACAGACAATTTAACTTACCTTTGGACTTTGGACATGCCAACACGGGGATAACATGCAAACTCCACACAGAAATGCCAACTGACCCAGGCGAGGCTGTGTGAGATTGTGCTACCCACTACGCCCCTATTCTTGACTTGTCACAAACCTATCTAAGTTTCCTTTTTTTCTGATAAACACAAAATAACTGATTATTTTGAAAATGTTAAACATGTAATCATCGACTTTCATTGTTTTCCTAGCATGATAAGTCAATGGTTACAGGTTTGTAACATTTTTCAAAATATATTATTTTGTGTTCAACAGAAATTTAAACTTATGTATGTTTGAAATGACTAGACTCAGGTTTCTCAGTAGCGGATGGCATCATAATTGGGTAAACTTAGAGCGCGTGAATGGGAGAGTAGGCTACAACAAATAATTTTTACAACCCTATTTGCTGAAATAAAAGAAAAACTCAACTATGGTGTTATCAAGACTTTCAGAAAAAAAGATAAATCTACTGTGAGACTGATGACGGCAGCCAGAGGAGAGAATAACATCAAATTTACTTTCGCCCCCATAGACGCTGCATTACAAACCCCTCACATACTGTAAGTGGCAATTCGTTACTTGAAATTTGACAAAAAGATAGCCTAATACATACATAAATGCATATAAATGTCCATACGTTTTTTTTTTAAATCAACATATTTAAAACTTTCAAGGATTTAAGACTATACTGACCATTAAACACATAATAACAGTCTTGTGAAAAGAGTCCCTTGAGGGTGAGACAATGGTGACCCTGCTGAAAAATCCAGTTTAAATCAGCCTAGGCTGGTTGGCTGGTTTTAGCTGGTTGACCAGCCTGGTTGTAGAGGGGTTTTGGCCATATCCAGGCTGGTTTCCAGCCATTTCCAGCCTGGTCTTAGCTGGTTAGGCTGGAAAATGACCAGCCAAATCCAGCTAAAACTAGCTTGACCAGCCTGGTTTAAGCTGGACATAGCTGGTTTTGGCTGGACTCCCAGCTTGCCTAGGCTTGTCAAGCTGGTTTTAGCTGGTCATCTTCCAGTCTGACCAGCTGAGACCAGGCTGGAAATTGCTGGAAACCAGCCTGGAAGTGGCCAAAACCCCTCTAAAACCAGGCTGGTCAACCAGCTAAAACCAGCCAACCAGTCAGGCTGGTTTAAGCTGGATCTTTCAGCAAGGGAGTCATTTTGGGGTGAACTATTCCTTTAAAATCAAGTTTATGAGAGCAATAATGACTTATACATGTCGATGATTTCCACTCACACAACCTTTGTATGACTTCAGACTTTGTATGTCTTGAAATATACTCTCACATAAACCTATTCTGTTTCTTTAGTAGCCGTGTTCTGCCATATGTTGTTGTCAAACGCAAATACAGAATTTCTCCTTTGCATTTCACCGAATAAACTCTGGATTCAACGTCCTATGGGGAGTAAACTATAACAGCATGGTAAATTCCGAGGTGACCTATCCACTTCTTGTAGATTAATAGATTTAGGATAGAACACGAAGTGATGGCGCCATCTATTGGACAGCTTGTAAACTTGCAGCTTAAGCTGTTTTGGTTTGTCGTTTAAATTAAAGAAATAGCGCAATCGCCTCATAACAAGAAGGTCGCTGGTTCTAGTCCCAGCTGGGTCACTTGATATTTCTGTGTGGACTTTGCATGTTCTCCACGTGTTCGCGTGGGTTTCCCCCGAGTGCTCCGGTTTCCCCAACAGAACAAAAGACATGTGGAAGGTGAATTGAATAAGCTCAATTGTTAATATTGAATGTGTGAATGAAAGTGTAATTGTGTTTCCCAGTGTTGGGCTGCGGAAGGGCATCCGCTGAGTAAAACATATGCTGGATAAGTTGGCGGTTGATTCCGCTGTGGCGACCCCTGATTAATAAAAGGACTAAACCGAAAAGAAAATTGATGAATAATGAATTAAAGGGATAGTTCACTCAAAAATGATGAATTACTGACTGTTTACTCTTTTATGAGTTTCCCTATTCTGTTAAACATAAAAGAAGATATTTTGAAGAAATCTAAAAACATGTAACTATTGATTTCCATATAGTGGCAAAACAAATATGAAATTCAATGGTTATCAGCTTCTAACATTTTTCAAAATGTCTTCTTTTATGTTTAAAAGAAGAAAGAAACTGATAAGGGTTTAAAACGAGTAAATATAAGTAAATTACAACATAATTTTAACTTTTAATCTTGTAAAACCAAAATGAGATTAAGTTTTATACACGCATATTGGCTGGTTTCTTAAGGATTTCTTCACATTAAGACCACAACTTTCTTTTTCTTCAATTTAACACAATGAGTGTAGTAAAAAAAAAACATTTAAAAACACTACTTTTCGCAGTGTAATTAAGTTTATTATTCTCTTCAGAACATTTTTTGGCCTTAAATAATGTGCGGTCACCATCATACAAATGCAAATGTCTATTCATACTGAAGTGCTTTTCCAATGAGAAGACTTCCAGCTGAATTCAGCAAGGGCTTTTAATAAAATACTCATAAAGAACCTTGATATTACTTCTTGGTCCATTTCCTTTCTTCACAAATACAAAGAGCATGTCCAGTGTTCCACGAATGTCATAAGACAAGGACAAACGTTGGACTATTTCTAAAAAAAAAACAGCAGACTTTAGAGGAAACTTGTTTTTTCACTCTCTCTGTTAATCAATCTATATATCTCACTACCTTTCAGCATGAATAAACAGTAATGCAAGTATTAATCTCCCTCCACTTAACAGGTGGCCATCTTGACAGGTTTCTACGATAGCATAATTACACGCTTCGACGAAGATTATAACCCCATTCCCAGACATCCTACAAATTCTGTGCTCAAAGGTGTTTCAGTGCAAATCCTCAGCATGGATCATACTTGAACAAGTTCGCACAAGTCTGCATGCCACATCATTTTAAAGTGCTGCAATCAGTGTAAATTGCCATTGAACACTTTCCTTTTTTACATATACATAGGGTAAAATTGTCCTTATATATTTGGCCGTTTCCATTTCTAACAACACGTATGCATGTGTGTGTTGGTTTTAGATAAGCTTCCAGCTAGGTTTGCGGTGAAGAAATGAAGGAACCGGTGGTTTTGTTGCTATGGAAATGGACAGCGAGCTCTTCTGCGAGTCCAGCAGATTGTGCAGACTCGCACTTCTGCACAGTAAGAGGTCTCATAAAACGCTGATGTTTTCCTGAGGGCAACCTCAAAGTCTCAATGTCCTCGTTTTTTTTGTGAGGACCTCTGCAAAAATTTGACACCAGTTCAACTGTTTATTGTATATTTGGACAGATAAATCATATTTAAAGAATAAAATTGCTTTTTTACAGATACTTTTAACCGGATCTCTACTCTTTTATAGCTAAAAAAGTTGCTCCTCTTAAAGAAAGTTCATCCACAAATGAAAATGCTCTTATCATTTATTTAAAAGACATTTTATATCAATATCAG